AATGAGCGCGACAAGTGGATTCTATAAAGCGACCAATTTCAACACAGGGAATTGATTTATCAAAATTTCATAATTTTAGTCATTTTGAAGCGCTCGTTCAGTTAGCGACCACTGACCGATATTGATAGACTAACTAATTTGATGGAGAATCCTGATCTTGCCTTAATCAAAATGCGTGTATTTTAGTAGCTATAACGGAAAGGAAGGAGCGAATCTAGTTCACTGCCAGCCATTGTTACCGCAAGTTGAGTGTAATACGATCGCTGTTACGGGCTTGTTCACGCTACTACTTGAGAAGATATTTTTATCGCACTAGTTGCAAGTAATCTCTAATTTTGCTTAACATAAGGGATTTTCCCTTGGATTTTTGATTTGAATTTATTGCAGAATAAAAGATAGAAGAAGAATGGGAAAAATGTGAAAAAGTTTTGTATATAAAACTTCTTTTCGTGACTTCAGAATCCCTTACTTTTGCGTTGCTGTTTACCATAAAGTCAAAGAAGATTTGCATTTATTCATTTTATGTGTGACTTATGCTGGCATCTCTCACACTAATGCACATTTATCGACTTTATCTTAACGCTTGGTTGCCTACTTTGTTGATAAGAACCGAACCGACACACTTTTTCATATAGAAACGGCCACCATACCAAGCCTGACTTTAATAATTCTATAACTTTTCTCATATGCCGCCGGAATGCATTTGCTTGAATATGGGGTGTGTTCTTTCATTTACACACCTGCATGCACGCATATATATATATATATATATATATATATATATATATATGTATATATATATATAGAAATATAGAAATATATATAGAAATATATATATGTTATATATATATATAGAATATATATATAGAAATATGTATATATATATATATATATATATATGTATATAGTGCATGCATAAATTTGTCCGTTTAAGGAGTTGAACGCAAGTTTCTTTTCTTACTTATGTATGTTTTGTGAAAATTATTGCGGTTTTACGGTACGTTATTTATTTCGCCTGAAATCTGGTAAAAACTTTTACTTTTCTATACATGAAAAGAAGAAGAACTTTTTTTCTGCATTTATATACATACATACCTATATTGTGTGTGTATACATTTTTTTCTTTTATTTATTTAATTTTTTTTTTTTTTTTTTGGGGTTTTTTTCTTCTTTTAAATTAAGACAGCTTCCAAAAAATACATTTTTTGAGTAAAGTAATAAAATTCTTCCCATTATCGGTTAGCATCTGATGTTGTTTTCTTTTATTATTATATAAGCTTTAAAAAAATTGAATCTGATGAAAAATATGTTCAAGTTACAATGGAAATGGTTTTTGTGTCTTTACGGGCTTATAAGTTTTATAGAACAAAATATATTTATAGGGATTAAGGTATTGAATCATTCATCGTACGGCTAATTTATTTATAGAAATATTTAAGTTTTCTAAATAGTTCTTCTTCACTTGACACAATAAACAAATCGAATCAAAATAAATTTATATAAAAGAAATTATTTA